AACATAAAACCATGTCTGCATTTGTGATCGGAGAAACGACAAACAACAAGCGCTACTCTACACTGCTCAAAACTCACGTTTGAATCATCAGTGGCAAAGCCTTTAAATATGAAAACGTACTTGTAGACTGTAAGAACAGCTGGCATTGTCGTCTACTATCCCAGGATCAGGAAACAGTCCTTTATAAAATGCGCTGCACACATCTGAATATTTGAGTTGAACTGTTCTGGAACAGCTTAACCACTGATTTCTAGTCGTGTCCGCTTTTGGAAGGCCAAACAAAGTATTTTCGCTTTCACAGCGAAACACACAGGGTCTTCACATCATGGCGGTGGCAGCAACAATAAAGTTACGCCTTCTTTCTTTGCGTGAACATTTGGGCGGCATTATGCAAATCTTCCCACATCGTGATGTAGACATGTGGGGGCGTGTTTAAACAAGACGTTTTAGGAGGGCGTGGACCAGTCTTTAACTTTGATAAAGACTTTAAACTTTAGACTTTGCAACTTTAGGGATCTTAGCTATTCACGAACAGCTTGTAACACTCCAAAGAGAAAGGAAAACTTTAAATCGCATCATATGACCCCTTTAATGTAAGCTATGTTCCTAAACCACTGAGGTACATGAGATTCCAGAATGGACTTTTTGCATGCCACCAAACTGAAAAGAAGAAAGAAGAGTTGTGTGAAGCTCTGTAAGATCTGGAATGGAAATCGACCATTACTGTTTATATAACCAATATTGCTCTTAACAAAATGGCTGATAAGTAGTGTAGAATTTATCACTTTTTTTCTAACATATTTACTGACATAGCATTAGACTACAACAGTAAAACCTAAAATGCATTATTATTAAAGATAATAACAAACAAAAATAATAATATAAAAACTTATGCCATTTTTTTAACGTTTGTTTTGGGCTGTTCTTGAGCTTAAAATTCATTTCTCACTTGAGAATGAAAAGTTGCTTGGTTAAAGTTTGAGTAATTTATACAATAAAGGCTACATAAGTTTCATGGAGAGTTTATTTATCTGCAGAAAAGTCCGTTTATCTCTAGTCTCCATCTATAGCTCAATGTGTGAACCTAAATCAACCATGTTACCCCCCAAATCACTGTCTGTGCAGGTGCAGCCATGCGAGTTACCAAGGCACATATTCCAGAGGAAGGATGAGAAAAGCTCTGATGTCTCTTACCTTATAATAATACGATGGAAAAGGATCAAAGACGCGTGTAGAATAGCATGATGTTTATCTGCGTTAAATCCTCAGAATCCTGACGAGACACACAATCAATGATCTTTCACGGCTGGTAATACCGTTAAGCGTCCCCAACTCTCCTTCAGCGGCAGCTCACAGTAAATAAAGGCTGATACCCCGAGTGAGTGAGTGTGTGTGTGAGCAGAGAGAGAGAGAGAGAGAGAGAGAGAGAGAGAGAGAGAGAGATTTGGATTGATGAGCAATTCAAATGTTAATTTATGAGTGAGCCGTTATACTCTATGACAAGCGTTGTTCGGTTCCGTTGCGGCCAGAAAACCGAACTAAAATACTCCTGCACTTCTATTCAACACCTCTACTGAATCTCCAGCGCCACCAGTGTGGTCCGATTCCTACACGAATGACTCTTTTGAGCTGGCGACTTTTAGTGAATCAAAAACATACGAGACAAGTGTAGAAACTTAATTTGCTGTAAAACTACATATTGTAGAAACTTAATTTGCTCTAATGTTGCTTTCCAAATGAATGAATCTTGTGAATACGTATTTTAGTGTATTAAAATAAATAGCTACATTACTAAATAATTTGTGTTACTGCGATTTTCATGATTGAGCGAATGACTCACGAGCAGGATCTTTCACTGAATGACATTCATGAATCAGTCGGAGCTGTTACTGAATTAATTCGAACCGCAAGTTATTCCTGTGTTAAAATGTAGGCTATAGGGCTTGTAAGACTCAAACCAAAAGGCTATAGCAACACATTTTGAGTTTTGTTTTCATAAAATTAACACAAAAAAACAATAGACACCATCACAAAATTTGTAATGGTTTTACATGGTTATAATGAGACTTGTATTAGTTTTAATGGAAACTGTAATGGACCCTTTGGTTTACTACTGGTAATTGGTCGCCTTCTGGCTTGTTAAAACCAATAAATCTTAATGGAATAAGCTATGTCCCAAAACACACAACAGAAAACCATTTTTTAATGTGATGATTGCAGACATTTCTGTGATGATTGCTATAGTTTGTTTTTCAGCAGGGAAATTATGAATTAAATATGCTACCACATTTTGGTTAGTAGTTTAATTAATACCTATAGCCTATCATGGTCTGTTTTTAAAGAATTGCAATAAAAATGGCATTTTCTAAGGTTTCTGTGAACATTTTGAAATGTTACTAATTGTAGAAAATTTATTTGTTATAGCTTTGTATGATGAAATCTGAAAATTGCCCATCCTTTGAGACTGCTGGGGGCAGTAAATAAAACACGAATCCCATTTTCTCTTAATATTTCTCTCTCCAAATTACTAATGAATCGTTCATGGAACTGTTAGGGAACCAGAATCGATTCCGTATGATTCGCATCCCTATCCATGACTCTGTAGAATATCAGTTACGCATCAAGACACTGAACAATCCGATTACAGCATCTTTAATGGGAGTGTAATGCCGGCTGGGGAAAGCCCAAACATCATTCAAAAATAATGCCATGTTCAGAAATGATTTTAAGAGACTTGTGTCATCGGAGCTCCAAAATCGAGTAAGTTACAGTACCAATGCGTAATTAACGATGTCATGTACGCACGACAATAACCTACAGCGACAAGCAGTAAATAACCTGGAGAATAAGGCGTTTAGATTTACCTATATAGGGACTAGTCCGAAACCTCTTCCTTCCAGCGTAACCGCTCCAAGTGAAGCGCACAAAGCGCACATGTTTCCCGCACGGTATCACAGTGTCACATGAGCGGAGCGTTCAGTGCAGCCCTCCCCTGCCTCCATCCAGCAAATCTCTGAATCCAGTCCAACACCGCCCCACCTCCCCAAACACACAGGATAGCCCGTTTAGATCATCGACTGGTCATCTGAAGGCAACAAGCAGCAGGTGGAGGCTGAGTGGTTTCAGACGGCTAATGATGGTGCGTGTCGGGCACCCCGGCTCTTTAAGACTGTATACGGCCACAGAATAATAATGAGCACATATTGCTGCAACAGCAAGCGAGAATTTGGGGAACTGGGCTGAGGTTATGTCTCCGGTGTTGAATTATCCTGCAATAGGATGACAGGTTCTAGAAACGTCTAGAAATGAGAAACGTTTTATAATAGAAACGTATAAGAAACAGGAATAGACATTTTTCATTTTTAAAATTAAATAGGTGAACAGACTGCTATGCGCGATATTAAAAATTAGGCTATACAACACATTAAATGCCCTTACTACCTCTCAGATGCTTGTGAAATATTAAAAATGACAAATAGGCTACCCCGATTATCTCAAAGACAGCTTTATATTATAGATCTATTACATCATGCAAGATGTTTAGGAATCGGAGAGAATCGTCTGAGCTGGGTTTTGCTTTCAAATCAATTAAGTACTCACTGATTCGTTGAACCAAGATTCATTTCAATTGAATATTCACGACTCGCTATGATTAGAGATTTAAGTTTTATTAACATTTCTATCAAAAAAAAAATAAATAAATTAATGAATCTGGTTTTGAACCTGTTCATTGAAATGGGTTGTCCAAACGAACAGAAATCAGAAAAAAGACAATCGAACGGCCTCTCTCACGAAATTCTGTACATTTGATTACCAATTTGCCATTTTATTGAATGAGTAAAGAAAGTTTTTAACATTGTCTTGAGCAACAATAGACTGTGTCCTGATTTTAGACGGGAACAAAGGGACATTCTGTTCCACTTCTATACAATTGCTGTGGCATAACCCCTATTCATACATTACAGAAATATGGACATTTTCCATGGCCTGCATTGGTCCTAGCCCTCACAACATGCTACCTCTTATTACCACAGCACCATGGCATTGCAAGCAGACTGGGGTCCTGGCGGGGTGGCTTATTCTCATTAGGTTGTACTCGTCCCAATATCAGTCTTGCAGACAGGTAAGGAGCAAAGAGGTCTTATCTGCACCAGCAGTAACAGTGCTGTATAGCTTAGGCAAAGAAGTTGTTAAATTACTGCATTTAATTACTCATTCAGGACCGAAGCAAAAGAAACACAAAGGAAGAAACCCAGAGTGCAATGACATTAAGGGTGATAGCAGATTTGTGTTCGGTAAGTGAAACAGTCATTCAGAACAGCCCTTTTCCCTTCCCCCTACCCTATCACCTCCCTCCCTCTGTGACAAATGGGGGATCCAACTTCGTAATCCGGAGGCTTTGAGACTGTGGTTTAACCCCCCGGTCTCAGTAGTCGGCTGGTGGCAGGCTTATCCATGACCAGGGTAAATCATTTACATGCCCATATAGGCCACCAGACTTCTCAAGCAAATCCAGTTGGTCGCCGTGATTTTGCCAAGTAAGACATGTTCCTGGATCAACATCTTTTGTTGATCCTGGATCAACATTACTGTCCAAAAATATAGACTAAACCCAATCCCTACCCATAATTTATTCCTAAAATCAGTGTGAAATGATAGCTGCTTAACAAGGGTGTAGAAGCACCTAACCCTGATCTTAAGCCAAAAACAGATATTTCCTGAAAAGTTATCCCTCAATTCTGATTGGTTAATTGGAATGTTGTTCCAGGATCAACAAGGATGTTGATCCAGGAACATGTTGTGCTTGGTGAAATCACGGTCACCAATCCAGTTATGGCACAAAGTGAATGTGTGCGACAGGCATCAAGGGATTCCATGCATACTTCAATGTAAAAAAAATATATAGTAATCTGTTATTTTGAGTGAAAAAAGGGGGGCAAAGACTAGTAGAGGGCAGTGAGTTTAAACACTAAAAATGACATCCATTAAAATGAGCTTAATTGTGTAGTATAAGAAGAGATGGCACTACAAAAAAGGTTGGTTTAAAGTTGTTTATAATTACATTAAAAAATGTATTATTCCTATTGTTACTATAGGAAGAGTACTGAAAGAGATCAAACAAGTGCTGCGTATTTGACCAAATAATAACAATATGAATTGGTTCAATTACATACCAGACAGCAGCAGCATCAACAAAATCTGTGCACTTGTTGCCATTAGTAACAGAACGGTTGCTGTGGACACATATGATTCTGATGTCTTCCATAAAGAGGCATTACAGGTCAAACAGGGACTGTAAGCAACACCTCGAGTAAATATTCATTCCACTTCATCAGATAATCAGGGGATTCACAGAACAGTGCGCTAAACTTAATTACAAACCATGTTTAAATTGATTAAATGAAGTAGACCGTATTACTTTTTATGAGACATAGTGATTCAAGTTAATTTTCTCAATGTCTAATTTGTCTACCTGTACATTCTGTTTAGCTACGCCAAAAATTGTTAAAGGGATAGTTCACCCAAAAATGAGAATTGTTATTAATTACATGTTAATTACCCTCATGTCGTTCTGAAGACCTTCATTCATCTTCGGAAGATATTTTTGATGAAATCCGAGAACTTTCTGACCCTGCATAGACTATCACTTTCAACAAGGCCCAGAAAGGTAGTAAGTACATTGTTAAAATAGTCCATGTGACATCAGTGGTTCAACCGCAATGTTATGAAGCTACGAGAATATTTTTAGCACGCAGAGAAAACAATGATGAATGAAGGTTTTACGGGTTTGGAACGACACGAGTCAGTAATTAATGACAGAATTTAAATTTATGGGTGAACTATTCCTTTAAGCCTCTTTCTAATTATATTTATATAGTACTTGTCCATCCATTAGTGAGGGGGAAAAATGTATGTAATAGGTAATACATGGTAATTTAAGGATAAAACTACCAATAAGTCTTACTACCCTTCCATTATTATGTGAAAAACGCTCCCTCCGCAGGGCAGAAAGTGGTAGTACATCAGAGTCTGGAGATGTCAAGCATAACACAGGTGCAAGCTTGTTTAATTCTGGCTTTTGCAATTTCTGTTGAAGAATTAACCTTTTTTTTTTTTTTTAAGGAAAAAAAAACCTTTTCTCTTTTTTATGCATGACTGTTCAAAAGGGTTTCTTGGACTGTGTTTCACATTATGAATTTATTTTTTTATTGACTAGACAGACAAATATTTGATCTACAATGTAATAATTGAATAAAATCACTTGAATACATATTACATTAGCATCTGAAATTGGATGTTTTATCTCACACGACTCTTCTTCAATCTGGACATTTCCCCAGAGGCTTTCCGTTTGCGTGAAGATGTATCTTGAACTTTTTCTAGATCATCCGTAGCTGCACCAGGAAGATAGTAAGCGTCCATTGAAGGAGAAGGCTCCTGAAAAAAAAAGATGCTATTTATATATCTATTAAATCATACTTGTTGCCTCGACAACCATTTCAGATCTGAACAGAACATGCCATTACTGTGATGGATTTGGACTTTACTGTCAGGTGTAGGGCTGCACCATTAATCGACATCAAACTGAAATCCCTCAAGACTTAGCAAATATATGTTCACTGCGCTGCATGTTTCAGAGTGAAGTGTGGCATTGTACTTTTACATGTAAGCATCTCATAATCCAGTTTTTTCAGTGTCTCTGAGTTTGGGTTGCTTACAGTGTACATTTGGGAAAGCAACATATGCAAACCTTCAGAAACTTTTCAACAAAAAGAACATGACACTAAAAGAGAAGCTTGATGGCTTAACCTTTGAAAATGAACAGTTGTACTGTAAAAAAAATATTTGTCTTTTTATATAAATATATAAAAATAAATGCTTTATTAAAAAATGTTTTTTCAGATGCATTTTTCAGTGAAATATTACAACAGGAATATATATGTTTTATTTTGTTAAATTTCTTTGTTTAATTTAGTAATACTAATAAATTTGTAAAAAAATAAATAAATTATGATTATTTTTCTTAAATACTTTGAAGTACAGCAGTTTTTACAGATTTTTTAAATTTAGTGAAATATAACAACAGTAATATTTAGGGGTCTAAGAACCAAAGGTATGGGAACCTTACTGTATTTTCTTCTTTCTCTGCAGTAAAACTGTCTGGGTATCAGTCAGAGACCATACATCGTATTTCTGATAGATATATATATATTTTTTTTTTTAAGTCCTCTTAGGCTGTTCATCCACTCTTCACTACACTGTTTGCAAAGCAGCTTTAGACAATGCTGGCAAAAAGATAACAGATCCTTTTAGGTCTCAGTTAAAAATCTGTGTAAACTGTTTATTAGGTTGACTTAAATTTCATTATAGTTTAATAAAGTTTAAAGTCTAATCTAAGTCTAATCAGTTTGCAAGGAAATCTGTGATTCATTTATTTTATATATATTCTAATGATACACATGAAAACATTTGTCAAGTTGCCAGACATAACTAATGAGGAAATAATATTATTTGTCTATTGTAATGCAGTAACAGAATACAACTTCCATACAGAGAGACTTAAAGACTGCATTCTTGTCTTAGGACAACTTTGTTGAACTTTTTTGATCCACTTCAAATGTTGACCAATGTATATCGTATTATATTTGAAAAGACACATGGCCTTTGATTAACTATACTGTCTAAATGAGCTGTTTGTACTTTGACCCCTATAACTGCTGCTTGCAACTATTTATTTAGTTTGATATTTTAATATTTAACATAATATTTGCTTAAAATAAATAAGATTTTTTTAAATTTAGTTTTAATGAAGATTATTTTTTATAGTCATATTGATATATAATTACACAATTTTGGCCAAATTGTGCAGCCCTATAAACAAGCACAGCAAAACAGAAGCTGGAAAATAAATAAATAAAAATCCCCCAAAACGTGCTGCCCTAGTCAGGTGTCATCATCAGCTCTCACCTGCATGAGGTAATCAGCAATGTACTCTGGTTTTAGACATTTGACCCCCTGAGCTGCAGCTTCACTGACATCCACTCTGCCGTCACCTGCTTTTAACCGACTAAAATCCACAAACAGGTGAGTGGTCTCTTTAAACAGCGAAGGAGAAGGGTCTGGCAACACCTATACAAGGGCAGAGAGGGTTAATACAAGACAGAGTAACAACACAAAGGAAGGAGGGGAAAACGGAAATCACTGCCTGTAAGATCACAGGAATCCAATGTTATTTATGGATTTGGTGTGGAATCAAAAGAGAAGAAAAGACAAAAACAACAGACCTTGGCTCCCCCAGACTGCAGCAGCCGTCTGAATCCAGCCTCTCTGGCCTGGTCAATATTCAGCATCACAGTCCAGCCGCCAAACGCACCCTGCATGTCAAAAGCATTAGGTGCTGTACCATGTACTTGCATGCTCATCCAAGGAAAACATATGTGCGTGTACCTCCTTGTTTGAGCTGCCTTGTAGTGTTTTCCTCCATCGCATGGCTGCCAGTGCCAGTCTCTTCTGCTGAGAGTTGATGGATGGCAGAGCGTCCAGGATAGAGCTGCTGCCCCACTCGTACTGCTCCTCCTAATACACATACAGGATACGAACATCATCTTATAAAACGGATAGTTCCGGCCCTTGATTCTTGGTTGAGCCAAGTTCGAAGCCGTTGTAAATTACTCTACAGACATACACCTTTGTTTACATTTGTGTGTTGCCCGGCAACCACTTTGTTGGAACACAACCGTTTCTGAGGAACTACATTGTTTGGCGGAAGTATAGTGTTTTTATTAAATATCATTACACTTTATTTGCTCAGTTTTATTTTGTGAAACCTTACTACGTATATGGAATAATGGTTTTATAAAAGCAATAAGCCCCGTGAAGCCGTGGTTTACAGTGAATTTATAACAGCTAAGGGGGTTGTAAGCACGACCAACAACGCCCCTTAGCTGTTATAAATTCACTGTAAACCACGGCTTCACGGGGCTTATTGCTTTATTTTATCACTGAAAGACACTAATCACAAATGCAGACACATACCTCTATGAAGTGTCCTTCTGCACGACAGGCCTCCAGATACGAGCGATGAAGAATCCACTTGCCCGCTGCCATAGCGGCCAGATACTTCTCATTCCTCAGAGGATAACCAACAATCACATGAGTGCAGCTGGGATCAAAACTCTGTTTCTCCAGCACAACACCACCTGCACATGTACACATTCATGACGCATCAAATAGAGAACATTTAGGTATGGAATACAACAACTGAATATAGTAAAAATACAGAGTAAAACAAGAATTGTTTTCTATTTTAATATATTTTCAAATGCAATTTATTCTTCTGACTGCAAAACTGAACTTTTAGCCATTACTCCAGACTTCAGTCGTGTGATGCTTCTGAAATCATTCTAATAGGATGATTTGCTGCATTTCTTCTTATTATTATTAATGTTTACATTTTCTTTGGAATTATTAGCAATGTATAATGGTAAATTTGCAGAAACTTAGATGAACAAAGTTCAGAAAGAATAGCATTTATATTAAAGATAAATCTTTTGTAACATAATAAATTTATTTTCTGTCACTTTTGATCATTTTAATGTGTCCTTGCTCAAAAGTATTAATTTCTTAAAAAAATATCTTACTGACCTGGAAATTATGAACAGCAGTGTGTAACATATCATATAATACATACATGCATACATACATACACACACACACACACATATTATATACATATATACACACACACACACGTATACATACACACACATATTATATACATATATATACACACACACACATGCATGTACACACACACATTTTTCGTTTTATAATTTATACTAAAGCACAGTGCTTTAATTAACATTCTAATGACAGCTTTCATGGTAAGATGGTGAAAAACAATGTCAAATTATGATGATTGTCTTTGACCATTGTGCTGCTTTGTGCAGTTGTTTAAGCTTCCTACCACAAAAGCTAATTTTTAAAAACTGTGATCTTTTAATCTCAGGGCCCCTGCATTTTGTTCTATTCCATTATGCTCTATGCTACTTGCTATTGCTCTAAGCTATGTAGCTATTTTTGAACAAGCATTATGTAAAAGCTCAGAACAATACGTGTCTGACTGGAATCTGACAACATGCCTAACTTTATAGATGCTCCATAAGACCGATTAGCTAATTAGTTGATTTTGAAAATATGTAGTTTTACACATCCCTAAATTAAATTCAGTGCAGTCAGGTACACTGACAGACACCATAAAAAGTACAAGAAATGGGAGGCACTAGGGCTGTCAAAATGGCTGAAAAATTAATTGCAAATTTAGAATATTAACAATATTCGAATTATATTTTAATTTAAAAGGCATAGTTTCAGTTAGGGAGGAAAAAAGCTTTTGGCTTCTCTCCTGAGGCCACAAGAGGGCACATCGAACAAAATATTATGCATGTTTCTTCAAAGCATAATAAAATAACACAACTATCTTTGAAAAGATACGAGTCCATACTAGTCAGACTCTCTAACCATTAGGCCACGACTTCCCAAATTGCATGTATGTATAATTTAAGACAAAGGACCGAAAACCAATCACAAATGGCACTTTTCCACTGCATGGTACGGCACACTTTTGGGGGGTTTTCCACTGGGTACAGTACCTTGTACTTTTTTTAGTACCACCTCGGTTGAGGTTCCAAGTGAACCGTACCGTTATCAAAACATGACGTGTAAACTCTGCTGATCACGGATTGGCCGGAGAGAATCGTCACTACCTGCATCACTGAACTTGCGACACAAACACAACAGAACCGCTAGATTTAAATCGGCACAGCCAGCGAAGGATCGAACGCAACTGTTTTGAACGAGCGCACCTTTTTTTAACAACCAAAAAGTGGCTGTTTCGTTGTCTGTTGAGGAAGTACAGACGTTCCTCTCGTTGATAGCAGAGGAGCGGATCCAGCGAGAGCTTGATGGGGCGACGCGGAATGAAAAAGTTTTTCAGGAGTCGTGGCAGTAGAGGCGGCGCAACTAACGACATGTGAATAATCCCGCCCACTCTAAAGCGGTACTGAACTGTAGTGGAAACGCAAGCCGAGCCGAGCCATGCCGTACCGTACTGAGCC